AGTGATATAATTCAACCAGAACCCCTACATAATACGTATGCTAATATATTGTGATGAGAAAACGAACCGATTGGACATTCCATTAGTATGTTTTATGTGTTTTTCCACTGTGCTCACTACTAGTTGGAGTTATCATGTACTCCCAGACCCGAGTGCTTTCGCCTCTTGTGAAATCGATTGTTTCTGCTCATTGATTTTATCCCTGTTACTTGTTATTATGTATTAGTACAACACTAGGTACCGGGTTATATTTTGTGGTCCGGTCTTTAAACATACCATAATATCACTATAGTACACTGCACCTTAAATGTATAGTCAAGTACATTTGTATCGTTACACATGCTTATTATTGGCTTGAGTCCTCCTCCTCAGTCCTCCTCCTCCTCATCCTAAGTCTTCTTCCTCCTGAGTCTTCCTCCTCCTCCTTCTTCTCCTCCTAAGTCTTCTTCCTCATGAGTCCTCTGAGTCCTCCTCCTCCTTCTCATCAGTCCTCTCTCTCCTCCTCTTAAGTATTCCTCCTCCTCCTCCTGAGTCCTCATCCTCCTCCTCCCCAGTCCCCATCCTCCTCCTCCTTCTCCTCTTCCTTCTCCTCTTCATCAGTCCTCCTCCTCAGTCCTCTTCATAGTCGTTCTCGTTCTCGTCCTTAGTTCTCCTCCTCCTCCTCCTCCTCAGTCCTCCTCCTGAGTCCTCCTCCTGAGTCCTCCTCCTCATCCTCCTCCACAATCATCTTCCTTCTCATCAGTCCTCCCCCATTCCTCTTCCTCCTCAGTCTTCCTCCTCCTCCTCAGTCCTCCTTCCTCCTTCTCCTCCTCCTCCTCAGTCCTCCCCCAGACCTCCTCCTCATCAGTCCTTCCCCAGTCCTCCTCATCCTTCTCCTTCTTATCAGTCGGCCTCGTCCTCGCTCTCGTCCTCAGTCCTTCTCCTCCTCAGTAATCCCCCCAGTTCTCCTCCCCCTCCTCAGTCCTCCTCATCCTTTTACTCCTCCTCCTGACTCCTCCTCAGTCCTCTTCAGTCCTTCTCCTCCTCAGTCATCCCCCAGTTCTCCTCCCACTCCTCAGGCCTCGTCCCCAGTCCTCCTCCTGAGTCCTCCTCCTCCTTCTCATCAGTCCTCCTTCTCCTCCTCTTAAGTATTCCTCCTCCTCCTCCTGAGTCCTCCTCATCCTCCTCCTCCCCAGTCCTCATCCTCCTCCTTCTTCTCCTCTTCCTTCTCCTCCTCATCAGTCCTCCTCCTCAGTCCTCTTCATAGTCGTCCTCGTTCTCGTCCTTAGTCCTCCTCCTCCTCCTCCTGAGTCCTCCCCCAGTCCTACTCCTCAGTCATCCTCCTCCTCCTCAGTCCTCCCCCAGACCTCCTCCTCATCAGTCCTTCCCCAGTCCTCCTCCTCCTCCTTCTCCTTATTATAAGTCGGCCTCCTCCTCGTCCTCGCTCTTGTCCTCAGTCCTCCTCGTCCTTAGTCCTCATCCTTTTACTCCTCCTCCTGATTCCTACTCAGTCCTCTTCAGTCCTTCTCCTCATCAGTCATCCCCCCAGTCCTCCTCCTCAGTCTCCTCCCCCAGACCTCCTCCTCATCAGTCCTTCCCCAGTCCTCCTCATCCTCCTCCTCCTTCTCCTTATTATTAGTCGGCCTCCTCCTCGTCCTCGCTCTCGTCCTCAGTCCTCAGTCCTCCTCGTCCTTAGTCCTCATCCTTTTACTCCTCCTCCTCCTCAGTCGTCCTCAGTCCTTCTCCTCCTCAGTCATTCCCCCAGGTCTCCTTCCCCTCCTCAGTCCTCGTCCTCAGTCCTCCTCATAGTCGTACTCCTCGTCCTCAGTCCTCCTCGTCTTTAGACCTCCTCATCAGTCCTTCCCCAGTCCTCCTCCTCCTCCTTCTCCTCCTCCTAAGTCTTCTTCCTCCTGAGTCCTCCTCCTGAGTCCTCCTCCTCCTTCTCATCAGTCCTCCTTCTCCTCCTCTTAAGTATTCCTCCTCCTGAGCCCTCCTCCTCATCGTCCCCAGTCCTCATCCTCCTCCTCTTTCTCCTCTTCCTTCTCCTCCTCATCAGTCCTCCTCCTCAGTTCTCTTCATAGTCGTCCTCGTTCTCGTCCTTACTCCTTAGTCCTCCTCATCAGTCCTCCTCCTGAGTCCTCCTCCACAGTCCTCTTCCTCCTCCTCAGTCCTCATCAGTCCTCCCCCAGTCCTCCTCCTCCTCCTCCTCCTCCTTCCTAAGTCCTCCTCCTACTTCCTCAGTCCTCCTCCTCCTCCTCAGTCCGCCCCCAGTCCTCCTCCTCAGTCTCCTCCCCCTCCTCCTTCTCCTCCTCAGTCCTCTTCCTCCTCCTACTCCTCGGTCATCCTCCTCCTCCTCAGTCGTCCCCCAGACCTCCTCATCAGTCCTTCCCCAGTCCTCCTCCTCCTCCTCCTTATCCTTCTTATCAGTCGGCCTCCTCCTCGTCCTCGCTCTCGCCCTCAGTCCTCCTCGTCCTTAGTCCTCATCCTTTTACTCCTCCTCCTCCTCCTCAATCGTCCTCAGTCCTTCTCCTCTTCAGTCATCCCCTAGTTCTACTCCCCCTCCTCAGTCCTCGTCCTCAGTCCTCCTCATAGTCGTCCTCCTCGTCCTCGTCTTCCTTCTCAGTCCTCCTCGTCCTCAGTCCTCCTCGTCTTTAGACCTCCTCCTCATCAGTCCTTCCCCAGTCCTCCTCTTCCTCCTCCTTCTCCTTCTTATCATTCGTCCTCCTCCTCATCCTCGCTCTCGTCCTCAGTCATCAGTCCTCCTCGTCCTTAGTCATCATCCTTTTACTCCTCCTCCTCCTCCTCAGTCCTCCTCAGTCCTTCTCCTCCTCAGTCATCTCCCCAGTTCTCTTCCCACTCCTCAGTCCTCGTCCTCAGTCCTCCTCATAGTCGTCCTCCTCGTCCTCGTCTTCCTTCTCAGTCCTCCTCGTCTTTAGACCTCCTCCTCATCAGTCCTTCCCCAGTCCTTCTCTTCCTCCTCCTTCTCCTTCTTATCAGTCGTCCTCCTCCTCGCTCTCGTCCTCAGTCCTCAGTCCTCCTCGTCCTTAGTCTTCATCATTTTACTCCTCCTCCTGACTCCTACTCAGTCCTCTTCAGTCCTTCTCCTCCTCAGTCATCCCCCAGTTCTCCTCCCCTCCTCAGTCCTCGTCCTCTTCCCTTTCCTCCTCCTCCTCAGTCCTCCTCCTCCTCTTCAGGGGATCATGTTTGCGAAAAGTGGAAGGCTAAAGGTAAACACTTTATCACGGCTCCAGGACGTTATAACTGGCCTTGAAGGGATGGTTCATTATCTAGTCCAATGTGCAACTAAGTACAAGGACTGTGATATTGCTCCCTGGCACTCTAGTTGATGATGATGACAGGGAAGAGGCTGAGCTTGAGGCTCCCAATGATGATGATGATGAAATGTAGATTTATAACCAGTCAACTGAAGTTCTCACAACCGACGGCCGTTGGTACCAGGCCATGTTGATACTGCTGCTGAGAAGTTCATGAACGACGGTCGGTCATCAATGGCAGGTCATACACGCCAAAGGAGAATCAAAGGCTACAGTATCGTCAGGGTATCACTTTCTCGGCCATGTCAATCGCTTGGAAAAGACTGTAAACGTGTATCTGTTGGTGACAAGGGCTGGTTCGACAAGAAAAAATTCAAGCAAGCTGTCAAGTTCCGCGGGCAGGCTCTGTTCATGTCAACATCGCATATATTCAGCAAGGGTGACAGGTCGTCTGTCTGCCGTGTACCCACTAACTCCTTTTGTTCTACCCATCATAACTATCATGTTTGGGTGAAGTCTGATGTAGATGGTAAGATTTACCTATCAAAAGAAGTTTTGAAGATCACTAAGAGAATTTGAAGTTTTTCTCTATTTTTAATCCTAAGGAATTTAAGCTGTTACTATAACCATGACTACTTTGTGTAATAAGTTTATCTAAAGATAGATCTGATAGAATATTAATATGAATGTGCCATATATATAGTCTATATATTATAATATATAATGGGTTCAGCCGAAGCTTATTAAATTTCGTTTTAGGAACCCAACTTACCAGACTTTAAAAGTATGCGTAATGCGTATTTGGCAATAATATTCTGTGATGTAGCATTCAAAGACCTTTATAAATCACAATTAATACATCATAATATCTGAATTGTGATAATATCCCAGTGATTTTGACATTTACGCTTACGTGAGATTGACAAGCAGCTAAACTCCAATTATTAATTAATAGGTAATCGTAGTATTGTATTTTCATTTGTTCACCAGTTTTGCTGCGTCTTATTTATCTTCTTTGATGTCATACAGTGTAATATACAAAGATACAACGGAGAATACCAATGCAAATGGATTTATAGATCCATTTCTCTGGGATATTTCGTTTTTTCTAAAGTACAAAAATTCTGGTAAAAAATACGAAAAAATACGAAAAAATACGAACGCACCCCTAAAATTTGAAATTCGTATTCGTATTTTTTGTAGTTGGACCCCCCCCCAAATAGTTGTCAACGTTTTCTATGACAAAGGTGTGTGCTGAAACGTTGACAACTATTCGTTTTGAAACACTGAGTGGAGACTCTCACTTCGTCCCCAACTATCAAACTATTTGATGCTCTTGTACAGATCGACCTTTCTATAATATGACTTTAAATGGCACTGGCTTAATTTTTTCAAATCAAAACCTTGTGCCAAATGTTTCTGACAGAACAAGGTTAGGAATTTCAGAGCAATACTAACTAAGTCATGCATTGGTTATTGAATTGCAAAATATATTGAACAATTTGTTCTTGAAAAACATTTTAAATTGTTTTTGTATGTACAAAAAATTCAAAATGTTAAGCTTAGTAATAGTCAAAGAATAATTTTATCAAGGGTCCTCTGACCATACAACTCGAATTACACCCACCGATCCTTTATACATAATAAATTTGTTATTGAGAAACACTTTTGAGACAATGCTTTTCGAACACCTTGTATTACATGAAATTAAAGAAAAGCTTGGTTCTCTGAATGCATTTCTAACAGAAGGACCAGCAAGTAAGCGTTTAAAAACAGAAAACTACAATGGGGACTCAAATAAGAATCTCAAAAAGAAAAGCCTTGCATCTAAGCCTTTGAAATGTGATGTCTGCAAACAAGTAAGTTAACAAAACTTAAATGCGTTCAAATTCTACTCTAGTTAGTATATAATATACATTTAAAAAATAAATATTGAGTCAGCAATATATTAAATGAATTTTAATGTACTAGCTCATTCAAGTGTTATATTCAAATCAGCTGCTGGATTCTGAATCGTTGAAGATGTTCGGAGGTGATGATGCTGATGCTGTAGAGGAGTTCATTGCATTGGCTTCAGAGTCCTTGTCCCTGTTTGACGCTGACAGTAATGGTAAACTTACATCTTTTGGTGGAAATTTTGTAAAAGTTCTATCTGCTGAATTTTTCAGTTCTTCTAAATAAATGATTTAGGAATTGGGGGAATCATAACGAAATTGATTTATAATTCGATCTAAAATTTGTATTTTTGTCAGGTGACAGTGAGTGGAACGAAAAACCGCAGCATCGTATCACTGACTTTACTGTGTATGATGAATATGGTCACTTGTGCCCCTTTGACACTGGTGAGTTAGAAATAGCAGATAATCTGTTTTCAGTGCTATGGGTGGGTAGCCTTGTCACAACTCCCATCTAATGACTTCATATCAAGATCCACAAAAATTTGGAGCACAATTGCACCTAAACTTAAGCTTTTTGACTACTCCTACAAGATTAGCCTTGCTAAAAGTCGCCTGAAAAAGGCACTTCTAAAGCTGCAACATGCTTATAATGATTCAGCATGGACTTCAAGCGATTATGACATAATGCAGCTGTCATTTGAAAACAATCCCCTTCAACAAATTTAATCCAGTGTTCTCGGCCCACAGGTTCCTCCTATTAAAATATTTTTGATTTTGGTAAATGTGTGCTGACTCCACCACCTATGTATTTAACCTAATATTTAGTGTATTACAGGTAGACATTGACATAGGTAGGTATTTTTCTTTTAAGGTAGATATTAAAGTTTGGTAAATTTCTTAATTGTATGACTATTTCCATTATTGAGACGTTTTAAATATTTGATTTAAGAGGTTTTTTTATAGGACTGGTTCACAGTGTGAACAGATTCCAGATTTATATATTTTTTAAGTGATATTTAATAAATGATTAAAAGAACCAATTTTAAAGTTGCCATAGTGAAGCCTTTAGGTCCAAAAATATACCCATTATGCTCACTTAAAAACAACTCTAAATCAGTAGGCTGTCACTCTATCAATGCACCACACCGCTTCCTCCACTGCACTAAAAGTTATACAATAAATTCTACAATCCTAATTTTGTATCGTGATGGAGACCGGTGTCCATACAAAACATTTACTAGGTTGCCGTTTGGTGTGAGCAATAGCGAACAGCACGCACACTCCTTTGCCCCGTCAACCTATATCTAATCTATTTAAAGAGTGACAACCATACTACACATTGAATTAGGATTCCTTTAAATATCAAATTGATTTATTGTAAACTTGTTTACTCTGTAATAAATGGCATAAAATTGAATTTTTGTTTAACTGAATTTTTGTTTAACTGATGTTGATAGGGTGCACAGGGGGCTATATTTGCACAGTTTGGGCAAATTCTAGGCACTAAGCGAGACTTAGTCAAGGAAGTTGAGACTTAGTCAATGAAAATCCATTAAAGATGGACTTGTTTACTTACACTCATCTTATTTATCATGTTCATAAATGTTTAAGCATTATATCAATAGCCAATATTCGATATTACGATACAACGGTACCCTGGTTGATCGCCTGTGTAGCGGTACTATTATACATACTACTCGCCTGTATAAACATTAAACATTAAACCTATCTACTCCCAGGATTGATAGACCAGAATGTACATCTCTACTTTAGTGGTTATGTTAAACCTATCTACGACGATTCCCCAAGTCTTCAAGGTGAAACATCTTCTCCTACAATAAACCTACATGTACAGTTATGCTGAACCTACATGTACAGTTATGCCACTGAACACAGATTAATATTATACCTGTACTAAAATAGATTAGGTTATCTGATAACATATTATATATAATATATAATATAACATTCACCACATTCAGGTGGAGTGCGGGGTTCCAGACTGGGTCCCATTGATTCCTGGTACATAGCTGGGTTTGATGGAGGGGAGAAAGAACTAATAGGCTTCACCACAGGTACTGTGTTATATGTGTGTACTGTTCATTATTGTGTACTGTTCATTATTGTGTGTTTAGGAATAAGGTTGGTACAATAAAACTCCAATTTACCCTACCCCTACTTTACCACTTTATACCGGGGCTTTTGTTCAATGTAATTCTGAGTAAATTTATTACCCAACCAAGTTGACTGATAAGATCACTTCTCTTGTCAGCATATGCAGACTATCTGTTATTTCAACCCAGTGAACAGTATGGTCACGTGGTGTGACGTCATAACACGTGGTGTGACGTCATAACACGTGGTGTGACGTCATAACACGTGGTGGGACGTCATAACACGTGGTGTGACGTCATAACACCACTTCTCTTGTCATCATATGCAGACTATCTGTTATCCCAACCCAGTGAACAGTATGGTCACGTGTTGTGACGTCATAACACGTGGTGTGCCGTCATAACACGTGGTGTGCCGTCATAACACGTGGTGTGACGTCATAACACCACTTCTCTTGTCAGCATATGCAGACTATCTGTTATCCCAACCTAGTGAACAGTATGGTCACGTGGTGTGACGTCATAACACGTGGTGTGACGTCATAACGCGTGGTGTGACGTCATAACACGTGGTGTGACGTAATAACACGTGGTGTGACGTCATAACACGTGGTGTGTCATAACACTACTTCTCTTGTCAGCATATGCAGACTATCTGTTATCCCAACCCAGTGAACAGTATGCCCTTTTATTCGACATGTTACGTGAGAAAACCTATCTTAGCAAAACAGTAATCGAGATATTGGAGGAGGATTCAGGTTTGTAGTTTATAAATTAACATATAATAATATGCTAATAATATGCTAATAATATGCTAATAATATGCTAATACTGATATAGTAGCAGTGCAGTGGTGAAGTCCACCCGACCACTGCAGATCCAAGCTCTTGAACCAAATTTTATATCCGAGTGGATTTCATTAAAAAAATGGGGGAAAAAAGAAAAAATTAGCGATTTTAGTCGTAATACTTATATTCCAGTACCTGAGGTAGTAAAAGATAAGTTACTACTAAAATAGTGACTACCTCTCAGATATGACGATGGAGGATCTGATCAACTGTGTTCAGCTAGTAGTGCCCCCCGAGAACTGCGCTAAGTTCTCCGAGGAAACTCTTCTGAAGCACGCTCAGTTTCTAATTGAGCAGATCGAGAGCTATGATAGAGTTAGTTTTATTTAGGATTTAGTTTTGTTATATTTTCAGTTTTATTAAGAATGTAGTTGACCCAATTAAAGTTGTATCTTAACATGTATACATGAACAAGGGGCAAGAAAATCTAATTATCTAATTAACTGATTATCTAAATAACTAATTATCTGATTAACTAATTATCTAATTAACTAATTATCTAATAACTGTCAGGCTGCTGACGATGATGAGGACCTACTGATCACAGTGCCCGCAGTGAGAGGGCTTATCCAGCTGGCTGGAGTTACTCTGGGCGGGACACAGCCAGCTAACTCTCATAGAGCTCTCGTTAATGTTAAACTTAAGGTTTGTTAAATTTAGCTAGGCAGCAGTAAGTTGCAATGAATATTTGTTAACCTTCAACTGTTACTTCAACTTTTCAAAAGTTACCTCTAAAACGGGTTGTTGGATCTGTACATTTTAGCGCATATTTGTAATTCTATTGCGCTCCTGAAAATTGATAATTTATTTAAAATTGTGGACCCCCAGGTTGCTGGTAAAACTAAAAGTACGGACATATCGCACGCCACTGTCACGCCCCTCGTACAATCTTCCTTCGAGGCCATTTTCGTGGATCAAATGCAAGCAACTGTGAGTTTTAAGCTAGTTCTCAGCTAGAAAACAAAATGATTTATTTAAGCTTAATTAATAATTCTTGTAAAATTTTGATAAATAGCGATCATCATCTAATTTAAACTTCTTCGAGTACCTTATCACTTATGTTTAATTTTTTCCATCCACCACTTAAAAAAGTAAAGGATGGTTACGAATGGATAATAGTAAAAAGGAGGGATTTTGGAGATCAGGGTAGGTGGGTCTAAATGTTTTTGGTGACCCTGGGATTAGATAAATGATGGGAAATTTAAACAAAACATTTTAAATTTATCAATAAGTAATGTGAGTGATTGTAAACTTGTAAAACAACTAAAAAGAGTTAAAGCATTATTAAACAATAAACAGTGAGTCTTTACAATTGTTTAAGGCCAAATTATACAATACACTAAATCTCGACTAATTCTGGTCGCCTTGCTCCTTCACCCACTGCTGGTAATGTTGGTCAATGTCAGGACAATCATCAGGACCATGTGTTGCTACAGTGTAGATTGTGGTGCCTCCCACGTAAGCAATGCAAGCAAAACATTCCTCCTCCTTTATTTCGTCTGTAGATTTAACTTTAGACGTATAAGCGTTCATCCTCCTCTTGTACTTCATATCAGCATCTACTTCCTCTACACCATCTACTCCTCTCATTACTAGGCCTACTCTCACGTGAGATTTCAAATCCAGGTTCATACCATATTTGCTAGCGGTAACCTCACAGATTACTTTACCCTTTACAAAGCTGGTACCTTTAACGGTCCTAGTTTTGGGCACAATGCGGGTTACCTTGAAGTGCCACACCTGGTTAGCGCACTTCACTGCTAGTTCCTCCCCGCTAAAACACGGCACTTCAGACTCGCCGTACTTATCCATTGTGCACTCCGACATCACATCTTTAGCCTCAGCACTACATTTCAGATTTGTCTGCCCGAATGGTGTGGTATCTCCATCCTGGTTTCTACGTTTCCTATCTGGTCTGTACTCTCTAACGTCAGCGAGAACTCCCATTTTGTAGCCCTGTTCTCTGCAAATAGCATTCACCTCGTCTTTACCCACATTGTCATTACAAATAGTGGTCTTGTGTCCCGTGTTATCGTGTATCACCACCACCCCATGGTTAGCTCCCGTGTGCAGTTCCAACCATGACTCTGCTTCAGCTCGCTTCATGGCAGCTTTAACCCAGTCAGTATAATGGTGGAGGTTAAGGAACATATTGTACGCTTTCTCTTTCGCGTCCCCTGCTCCCCAGCTCACTAAGCCTATTTGTGCGAAGTTTTCTCCAGATTTCACGAAAAGTGGGCCTCCAGAGTCCCCAGCAAAGGCAGTAGCCTCCCGATCAGGATCAATCACGCACATGGTGCTCTCTGTGGAAATATAGGGTTATTATCATGGTTACTATGGTTACATGGTGCTCTCTGTGGAAATATAGGGTTACTATGGTTACCATGGTTACATGGTGCTCTCTGTGGAAATATATGGTTACTATAGTTACCATGGTTACATGGTGCTCTCTGTGGAAATATATGGTTACTATGGTTACCATGGTTACATGGTGCTCTCTGTGGAAATATAGGGTTACTATCATGGTTACCATGGTTACACGGTACTCTCTGTGGAAATATATGGTTACTATGGTTACCATGGTTACATGGTGCTCTCTGTGGAAATATATAGTGTAATATGGTCAGCTGTGGAAACATATGTATTAAGAAGATCGGGAGATGGATCAGTACGATAGTGGGGGCGATTGTTATCTGTTAAGGGGGGGGGGGGGGGTTCACCCTGATTATCTGTTAAAAAAACGATACAAGACGTGCACAAATTACTAGGATAATTATTTTGCAACTTTATACTTATTAGATATATATTATAGATATAATAACTGTGTTTTGAAATCAAAGAAATAGCGAACCGGGAATTTCCAGCTCATAGTCAACAGCTCCGTACATATCTTCATATTTCTCATAATCATCTGCCCAATACTGCTCACACTCGTCCTTGTTGGCTATCTGGTACACTAGTTCCTGTAAGGTGTCTGCAATAGGAAGGTCCTCATACTCTCCCTCGTCTCCAATCACTCCCCATCCTATCACAGTAACAGAGGTCCCTTCTGTGTAATGACTGTTATCCTCTGCTAGTGCAATGGTGGCGACCACGCCCTCTTTTACTCTTACTTCTTCCTTCAGTACTATCAGCGCCACGTCGTTCATAGGAACTGTAACATTATTATATTAGACCTACACGTCTTCAATAATTGTAAAAATTGTGAAAATTAATTAATTAATTAATAATTATGATATTTATATCACATATATATATGTATTTTCATAATGTCTCTATTGAAAAGAGCACAATTGATACCAACGATTACAAAGTTATACGTAAAATTATAGTAATAAAATGATAGACTCGAAAAATACAAATATTTGTCCCTAAATCTAAAAAGTTGTTAACTTGGTTAACCCCCACCTCCGAGTTGGTCGAGATGGTAGTTATCATGAACAATAATACGACTACCCTCCGCAATCTGCTCACTTTCCTCAGTTTCACTGGTGTGGTCCCCCACCACCACACGTTCCATCTCTACACTTATCTTTACACCATCAAACACTACACAGTGGGCAGCAGTGAGAACTATCCGGGGACTTATTAGAGACCCTCCACACATGTGGTCTCCCTCTAGTGTCGTCACACGTACCTGACACAATATAGTTAGTCTCCTTCTAGTGTCGTCACACGTACCTGACACAATATAGTTAGTCTCCTTCTAGTGTCGTCACACGTACCTGAAACAATATAGTTAGTCTCCTTCTAGTGTCGTCACACGTACCTGACACATTATAGTTAGTCTCCTTCTAGTGTCGTCACACGTACCTGACACAATATAGTTAGTCTCCTTCTAGTGTCGTCACACGTACCTGACACATTATAGTTAGTCTCCTTCTAGTGTCGTCACACGTACCTGACACATTATAGTTAGTCTCCTTCTAGTGTCGTCACACGTACCTGACACATTATAGTTAGTCTCCTTCTAGTGTCGTCACACGTACCTGACACATTATAGTTAGTCTCCTTCTAGTGTCGTCACACGTACCTGACACATTATAGTTAGTCTCCTTCTAGTGTCGTCACACGTACCTGACACAATATAGTTAGTCTCCTTCTAGTGTCGTCACACGTACCTGACACATTATAGTTAGTCTCCTTCTAGTGTCGTCACACGTACCTGACGCATTATAGTTAGTCTCCTTCTAGTGTCGTCACACGTACCTGACACATTATAGTTAGTCTCCTTCTAGTGTCGTCACACGTACCTGACACATTATAGTTAGTCTCCTTCTAGTGTCGTCACACGTACCTGACACATTATAGTTAGTCTCCTTCTAGTGTCGTCACACGTACCTGACACATTATAGTTAGTCTCCTTCTAGTGTCGTCACACGTACCTGACACATTATAGTTAGTCTCCTTCTAGTGTCGTCACACGTACCTGACACAATATAGTTAGTCTCCTTCTAGTGTCGTCACACGTACCTGACACAATATAGTTAGTCTCCTTCTAGTGTCGTCACACGTACCTGAAACATTATAGTTAGTCTCCTTCTAGTGTCGTCACACGTACCTGACACATAATAGTTAGTCTCCTTCTAGTGTCGTCACACGTACCTGACACAATATAGTTAGTCTCCTTCTAGTGTCGTCACACGTACCTGACACATTATAGTTAGTCTCCTTCTAGTGTCGTCACACGTACCTGACACAATATAGTTAGTCTCCTTCTAGTGTCGTCACACGTACCTGACACAATATAGTTAGTCTCCTTCTAGTGTCGTCACACGTACCTGACGCAATATAGTTAGTCTCCTTCTAGTGTCGTCACACGTACCTGACACAATATAGTTAGTCTCCTTCTAGTGTCGTCACACGTACCTGACACATTATAGTTAGTCTCCTTCTAGTGTCGTCACACGTACCTGACACAATATAGTTAGTCTCCGTCTAGTGTCGTCACACGTACCTGACACAATATAGTTAGTCTCCTTCTAGTGTCGTCACACGTACCTGACGCAATATAGTTAGTCTCCTTCTAGTGTCGTCACACGTACCTGACACAATATAGTTAGTCTCCTTCTAGTGTCGTCACACGTACCTGACACAATATAGTTAGTCTCCTTCTAGTGTCGTCACACGTACCTGACACAATATAGTTAGTCTCCTTCTAGTGTCGTCACACGTACCTGACACAATATAGTTAGTCTCCTTCTAGTGTCGTCACACGTACCTGACACAATATAGTTAGTCTCCTTCTAGTGTCGTCACCCGTACCTGACACAATATAGTTAGTCTCCTTCTAGTGTCGTCACACGTACCTGACACAATATAGTTAGTCTCCGTCTAGTGTCGTCACACGTACCTGACACAATATAGTTAGTCTCCTTCTAGTGTCGTCACACGTACCTGACACAATATAGTTAGTCTCCTTCTAGTGTCGTCACACGTACCTGACACAATATAGTTAGTCTCCTTCTAGTGTCGTCACACGTACCTGACACAATATAGTTAGTCTCCTTCTAGTGTCGTCACACGTACCTGACACAATATAGTTAGTCTCCTTCTAGTGTCGTCACACGTACCTGACACAATATAGTTAGTCTCCTTCTAGTGTCGTCACACGTACCTGACACAATATAGTTAGTCTCCTTCTAGTGTCGTCACACGTACCTGACACAATATAGTTAGTCTCCTTCTAGTGTCGTCACACGTACCTGACGCATTATAGTTAGTCTCCTTCTAGTGTCGTCACACGTACCTGACACAATATAGTTAGTCTCCTTCTAGTGTCGTCACACGTACCTGACACATTATAGTTAGTCTCCTTCTAGTGTCGTCACACGTACCTGACACAATATAGTTAGTCTCCTTCTAGTGTCGTCACACGTACCTGACACATTATAGTTAGTCTCCTTCTAGTGTCGTCACACGTACCTGACACATTATAGTTAGTCTCCTTCTAGTGTCGTCACACGTACCTGACACAATATAGTTAGTCTCCTTCTAGTGTCGTCACACGTACCTGACACAATATAGTTAGTCTCCTTCTAGTGTCGTCACACGTACCTGACACATTATAGTTAGTCTCCTTCTAGTGTCGTCACACGTACCTGACACATTATAGTTAGTCTCCTTCTAGTGTCGTCACACGTACCTGACACATTATAGTTAGTCTCCTTCTAGTGTCGTCACACGTACCTGACGCATTATAGTTAGTCTCCTTCTAGTGTCGTCACACGTACCTGACACAATATAGTTAGTCTCCTTCTAGTGTCGTCACACGTACCTGACACATTATAGTTAGTCTCCTTCTAGTGTCGTCACACGTACCTGACACATTATAGTTAGTCTCCTTCTAGTGTCGTCACACGTACCTGACACATTATAGTTAGTCTCCTTCTAGTGTCGTCACACGTACCTGACACAATATAGTTAGTCTCCCTCTAGTGTCATCACACGTACCTGACACAATATAGTTAGTCTCCTTCTAGTGTCGTCACACGTACCTGACACATTATAGTTAGTCTCCTTCTAGTGTCGTCACACGTACCTGACACATTATAGTTAGTCTCCTTCTAGTGTCGTCACACGTACCTGACACATTATAGTTAGTCTCCTTCTAGTGTCGTCACACGTACCTGACACATTATAGTTAGTCTCCTTCTAGTGTCGTCACACGTACCTGACACAATATAGTTAGTCTCCTTCTAGTGTCGTCACACGTACCTGACACATTATAGTTAGTCTCCTTCTAGTGTCGTCACACGTACCTGACACATTATAGTTAGTCTCCTTCTAGTGTCGTCACACGTACCTGACACATTATAGTTAGTCTCCTTCTAGTGTCGTCACACGTACCTGACACAATATAGTTAGTCTCCTTCTATTGTCATCACACGTACCTGACACATTATAGTTAGTCTCCTCCTAGTGTCGTCACACATACCTGACACATTATAGTTAGTCTCCTTCTAGTGTCGTCACACGTACCTGACACATTATAGTTAGTCTCCTTTTAGTGTCGTCACACGTACCTGACACATTATAGTTAGTCTCCTTCTAGTGTCGTCACACGTACCTGACACATTATAGTTAGTCTCCTTCTAGTGTCGTCACACGTACCTGACACATTATAGTTAGTCTCCTTCTAGTGTCGTCACATGTACCTGACACATTATAGTTAGTCTCCTTCTAGTGTCGTCACACGTACCTGACACATTATAGTTAGTCTCCTTCTAGTGTCGTCACACGTACCTGACACATTATAGTTAGTCTCCTTCTAGTGTCGTCACACGTACCTGACACAATATAGTTAGTCTCCTTCTAGTGTCATCACACGTACCTGACAAATTATAGTTAGTCTCCTTCTAGTGTCGTCACACGTACCTGACACATTATAGTTAGTCTCCTTCTAGTGTCGTCACACGTACCTGACACATTATAGTTAGTCTCCTTCTAGTGTCGTCACATGTACCTGACGCATTATAGTTAGTCTCCTTCTAGTGTCGTCACACGTACCTGACACATTATAGTTAGTCTCCTTCTAGTGTCGTCACACGTACCTGACACATTATAGTTAGTCTCCTTCTAGTGTCGTCACACGTACCTGACACATTATAGTTAGTCTCCTTCTAGTGTCGTCACACGTACCTGACACATTATAGTTAGTCTCCTTCTAGTGTCGTCACACGTACCTGACACAATATAGTTAGTCTCCTTGTAGTGTCGTCACACGTACCTGACACAATATAGTTAGTCTCCTTCTAGTGTCGTCACACGTACTTGACACATTATAGTTAGTCTCCTTCTAGTGTCGTCACACGTACCTGACACATTATAGTTAGTCTCCTTCTAGTGTCGTCACACGTACCTGACACATTATAGTTAGTCTCCTTCTAGTGTCGTCACATGTACCTGACGCATTATAGTTAGTCTCCTTCTAGTGTCGTCACACGTACCTGACACATTATAGTTAGTCTCCTTCTAGTGTCGTCACACGTACCTGACACATTATAGTTAGTCTCCTTCTAGTGTCGTCACACGTACCTGACACAATATAGTTAGTCTCCTTCTAGTGTCGTCACATGTACCGGACACATTATAGTTAGTCTCCTTCTAGTGTCGTCACACGTACCTGACACATTATAGTTAGTCTCCTTCTAGTGTCGTCACACGTACCTGACACATTATAGTTAGTCTCCTTCTAGTGTCGTCACACGTTCCTGACACATTATAGTTAGTCTCCTTCTAGTGTCGTCACACGTACCTGACACATTATAGTTAGTCTCCTTCTAGTGTCGTCACACGTACCTGACACAATATAGTTAGTCTCCTTCTAGTGTCATCACACGTACCTGACAAATTATAGTTAGTCTCCTTCTAGTGTCGTCACACGTACCTGACACATTATAGTTAGTCTCCTTCTAGTGTCGTCACACGTACCTGACGCATTATAGTTAGTCTCCTTCTAGTGTCGTCACATGTACCTGACGCATTATAGTTAGTCTCCTTCTAGTGTCGTCACACGTACCTGACACATTATAGTTAGTCTCCTTCTAGTGTCGTCACACGTACCTGACACAATATAGTTAGTCTCCTTCTAGTGTCGTCACACGTACCTGACACATTATAGTTAGTCTCCTTCTAGTGTCGTCACACGTACCTGACACAATATAGTTAGTCTCCTTGTAGTGTCGTCACACGTACCTGACACATTATAGTTAGTCTCCTTCTAGTGTCGTCACACGTACCTGACACATTATAGTTAGTCTCCTTCTAGTGTCGTCACACGTACCTGACACATTATAGTTAGTCTCCTTCTAGTGTCGTCACATGTACCTGACGCATTATAGTTAGTCTCCTTCTAGTGTCATCACACGTACCTGACACATTATAGTTAGTCTCCTTCTAGTGTCGTCACACGTACCTGACACATTATAGTTAGTCTCCTTCTAGTGTCGTCACATGTACCTGACGCATTATAGTTAGTCTCCTTCTAGTGTCGTCACACGTACCTGACGCAATATAGTTAGTTTGTGCCCAGTTTGTAATAATAACTAGTAAATAATTGATAATAATAAACAGACTAACCATAAAGGGGTACTCTCCCTTTTCAGTATCTTCACCGTTAATAATTAAAGTTTGCGCTGGACTGTCTCCCCAATCATCTGTTGCTTTCCCTGGTTGTTCAGTAGTGATGGACTGGATGACAATCAGAACCAGTAGCAGGTGCGTAACAATCTGGAATTAGCATAACTAATAACTAATAACTAATAACTATAAATATTTGCGATTTTATGTGTGCAATCAATCTTCAGTGTGCAATCAATCTTTTCAGTGTGCAATCAATCTTTTCCAGTGTGCAATCAATCTTTTCAGTGTGCAATCAATCTTTTCGCTTGTGAGTTGATATCAGTTGTCTCTTATCAGTAAATAGGTAATTGCACTGCCTTTTACTGTGCAGCTTTGCTATACACGAAGTATACACAATATGGAATTTTCGGTCAGTACACTTCACGAACTGGAGAAACAGATTGAGGACTTATCAGACTCGGTTTTAGCGAATCTTAATTGCAGGAAACTAGAGGACCTCACTCATGACTTGTTCAAGCCAAAAGGCGTTACAAAGGATGTAATAACCGAAATAGTTTTGAAGATGGGGTCTATGATATGTAAATCGAGAAATGTTTTGAGATCAGCAGCAGAGACGCTTGACCAACAGAAATCAGAACAGATAAAAACTCAGAACGAGCTCATCCAATGCAAATCTGGTAAACTAGCTTCAGTGAAGGAGACAGTGAAAACAGAAATGAAACTGTTTACAGATGTTGTGAAGAATAACAGCGTAGCTTCTGATATCTCTCCAGCTAAAATCAAAATGGCTGTGAAATCGGCGATTACAGAAGATGATCGGTCGAAAAACTTTATCATCTTCGGGGCCCCAGAACAGCTCGAATGTGAAGAGCAAGAAATGAACGAACGGGATCTCGTGGGTGATATTTGGGGTTTTATGAAGTTCATTGGAAGGCCGACTATAACAAACATTGAGAGAGTGGGAGTAAAGAAGTCTGACAGCCCTCGATCACGGCCGATAAAAGTTACTTTGCGAGATCCTGAAATTGTACGTGAATTTCTGAGCAGAGCAAAAGTCTTGAAATCGGTTGATGTGGCAGACTACAATTTCAACTACAACAAACTCTACTTATCTCCAGACAGGTCGCAGGATGAGCGAATCTCTCGCCAAAAGCTCGTACAGGAAATGAAAGAGGGAATCAAGAAGGACCCGAGCAAGAAATATTACATAAAAAACAACAAAGTTTGTGTCGCTGAGTGACTAATTATTTGAGAAAGTCAAGCATTTGTGTATGTGTGTGACGTTAATTTCATGGAGTTAAAACTTTTTGTATAACTGAGAACAGAGGTTAGAGGAACTACTGATAAGAGTATGATTAGACTGTGTTGCGTTATCAGTTGACTTTTTGCATCACTCTTCTAGATTATACGTAATAGGGTAACTTAGTTATAGAATAGGATTTTAGTTGTTGCAAGCATTGCACTAAGGTTTTAAGTTAGGTAAGTAGGCCACGAACTGTTGAGCAAACTGGGCTGGAAGCCCAAGCAATATGCAGTTCTGGTCTTGAGGCTATTTTACAATGTTTTATAACATGTGCTTGCAACTAGATCTTGAATGTCGCGTACCCCACGGGGATTTGATTTATTCATACAATTTATTATATATTGGTTCCAAAGCCCTTATGGGTACCAGCAAAAACTGGTTTTCAAACAAACAAACATTATTATTCCCGACACGAAAAATTTTCAAAGTGTTCCTGAAAAGCACGTTTCATGCAATTTTATCACTTTTGGCGAACTTTTTTTTCCGAATTTTAGAAATTTTTCAAGTCTCAAAAAAAGATGTAAGTGAAAAATTGTTGAAATTTTTCTCCGTGTTTCAAGCGATTCCAATCATTTTATGATTTTAAGTATTTAGCTAATTAATAATTATCCAATTATATGATTGCCCGATTAGGTGGAAAATTTTTTCATACAAAAGTTTTTTTCGTTGATACGTAAGATAAACACCCTCGAATCTCGATTAATCTGTAACTTTCTACGATGTTCACACCTAAAGATATTCGACAAACAAGAAAGGTGGTAAAAAGTGGCAAAAGTGGAAAAAGTGGCCGTAAGACGTGGAAAAGTTTGGAAAAGTTGCCGTTGGTCAACGAATGGAACTCAAAAACGTCAAAAATCCTTAGAAAGCCGGATAATCAGCTTCGTGTGCCGGTAAATCGATTTTTTTCAGATGGATCTGTCTGTATAATACTATTGCTGCTAAATCAACAATTAATTCTCCTTTCACTCACCATTTGCATTGTTCAGTTGTGATGAAATCAGTCGTTCAAAAAACCTTAAACCTGATGTAAGCCGTGATTATTTGATCTATATTATTTGATAGATTTTAGATAGTATTGTGTAATAAGGCAAGTATTGTGTAATAAGGCAGTATTGTGTAATAAGGCAGTGGAAGTGGAACATCCAGTTCTGGTCTGTGGTTAGGGAAAGTTAGAGAAAGAGAATACAATGGAGATTGTGGGTTGGACCTCACCTGGACGGACGAGAAACATGTCACTCTGGAGGAGAGACAATGGTTCTAGGAGAATTCAGACGTAAAGCCTTTGTGTAGATAGAGAGTCAAAGATAGATGTGAGTTCTAAACAAACTATGGATTCAGAGGTCATCAGACAGGAAGCTTTGGTAAAAAGATGAATAGTCGTAACACCTGGACTCGGGACAATGAAGCTTTAGTGGGAGATAAGACCAGCTGCCAAAGGTGTGAGCAGGGGCACGTGAGTCTGGTTAGAGAGGTCGGGTGAAAAACCACGGACAGGACATTATATAAGGTCCGGTGGAAAGGTCAGAAGAAGAGATAGAGTTTGCCCGATTCGAGGGCCATTGATATAGGTTACTTTGGAGCCAGGACCTGTTACGTTAGGGTCCTGGAGAGAGCATTATCGTGGTCTGTAGTTAGTGGAACTGTGCGGAGGACATGAGCAGTCTGGCTTAAGCGTAGAGAGAGTCAACAATGGTTAACTCAGGGGAGCAGGAATAGGCTGTGTTGTAGCCAGGGTTAACACGGGTTAATCCAACACGAGTGGGTTCGTGTCAACAACAATCGGGCTCAGGTAGAGCGAGAATGAATTATAGTGGATTTGGGCCTGATATAAGGACGGTCAGCGAGGATGAAAGTGTTATGTAAGTGTAGTTTAAGGGTAAGACTCCGTTAGAGACGGTTAACGAGGATTAACCGTGATAGGTAAGGGTAGAGCAAGGACGTGTGTTTTACAGTAGATGTAGGGCGTTATAAGTCAGAGTAATTAGGAAGTGTATTTTGTAGTAATTGGATTGTTAATCATTTTGTTTCTTACCCTTTTTTAACGTCATTATTACTTTTGTTTTTGTTGTTCGTAACCTAAATTACTACAAATAATCTACGAATCTGAAGCAAGTGATGACTGCTTACAAATGGCGCGAACGGTAGGATCCTATTTTATTATAGGATAGATTGTTTGTAGTTTAATTAAGGTAGGGAGGAGATTACTTATTATTCAAGAGTGAATTGACAGGTGTGAGGAGTATAGTTACGTTATGTTGTAACAGTGTTGCCAGTCAGATTAGTGTCAGATTAGTGCAGTGCAAGAGCAGTAAATGAAGGCACGGTTAAGTGTGAAGTTTAAATGATATTTTTGGGTTTCTTTCATCATGGAGGGGAAGGGAGGTTAGATACCGGAGGGGCACAGGTTAGGAGGGGCTGAGGAGATATTTTGAGGAATAAATGTCAGTCCGTTGAGGGATTGTATCGAGAGAGTGTTATGATTATTACCGAGGGGGGTACGTGAGCAGTTTATGGTTTACTGTTTCTTATTTTAAGATTTAAGACGGCAGACTTGACATACTTTCAGCCACCAGAGCCTCAGTGGGAGTGGCTGCCTGCTGAATCGTTCTGTTGTGTGTCAGACTTGTTTTCTTTTTGTAGCGCTACGAATGTTTATATTATGGAAGATAGCGAGAGGGGGAGTTTGGAGAGGGGGAGTTTGGAGTGGGTGACAGAGGTATGGGAAGAGATATGAAATTTATATAAATGAGACCCGGGTGATGCTAGCATTGGATAGGGAGAGGGAGGTTATTCGGAGAGATGTGACGTCACTAGTGAATTGGTTTGAAAACGTGGTACGTTTTGAGTGCGTTTTATGTTTTGGGGGGTGCCAGGGTATGGTATTTTCTATGATGAAAGAAACTAGTTATAGTTATATTACTGCTTTTTATGTGAAGAATGTGATGAATTAGTAGGTCGAATATTCGAATAGGATGATACGAAAGCAGTTTTGTAATTAAAGTCAAGATGTTACTGTGTGAGACACTGGTTTAATAATGAGAGTAAAAGCCGAGAAATACAGGGCTGAGAAATGTAACGGACAGGTGCGTATTGTATTGAGTGAGTGAAGTGCAGGATAGAAAGCTATGGTTGTATTGGTGTGCACTTGAAACATTTATATTAGTTGAAGTATAATATCGTGTTACGTCTGAGCCGTGTGTTTATTATGAAAGAGCACCTGGGGCTGAGCCATGATCTAAGTTTCATATAGAGTGGCTATCGTTAAATGTTCAGTTATAGTTTGCGAGTTTTATAAAGTATTCAGTTTCCTCTATTATACGAAGTAGGGGTTGTTCGGTCGTTTGCTTGTTTTGTTCGTTTTACATATGGATCCACTCGGAGACATGGTGGTGGCAATACTAGTAAAATTACTATTGGAGGTGGTGGTACTAGTGGTGACTAGTGGAATTACTATTGGAGGTGGTGGTACAGTGGTGACTAGTGGAATTACTATTGGAGGCGGTGGTACTAGTGGTGACTAGTGGAATTACTATTGGAGGTGGTGGTACTAGTGGTGACTAGTGGAATTACTATTGGAGGTGGTGGTACTAGTGGTGACTAGTGGAATTACTATTGGAGGTGGTGGTACTAGTGTTGACTAGTGGAATTACTATTGGAGGTGGTGGTACTAGTGGTGACTAGTGGAATTACTATTGGAGGTGGTGGTACTAGTGGTGACTAGTGGAATTACTATTGGAGGTGGTGGTACTAGTGGTGACTAGTGTTATTACTATTGGAGGTGGTGATACTAGCAGTGACTAGTGAATTACTATTGGAGCATGGTGAGAGGTGATGAATGGTGGAATTACTATTGGAGCATGGTGAGAGGTGACAATAGTGGAATTACTATTGGAGCATGACGAGAGGTGACAATAGTGGAATTACTATTGGAGTATGGTGAGAGGTGACAATAGTGGAATTACTATTGGAGCATGACGAGAGGTGACAATAGTGGAATTACTATTGGAGCATGACGAGAGGTGACAATAGTGGAATTACTATTGGAGCATGGTGAGAGAGGATAAATAGTGGAATTACTATTGGAGCATGGTGAGAGGTGATGAATAGTGGAATTACTATTGGAGTATGGTGAGAGGTGACAATAGTGGAATTACTATTGGAGCATGACGAGAGGTGACAATAGTGGAATTACTATTGGAGCATGGTGAGAGGTGATGAATGGTGGAATTACTATTGGAGCATGGTGAGAGGTGACAATAGTGGAATTACTATTGGAGCATGGTGACAGGTGATAAATAGTGGAATTACTATTGGAGCATGGTAAGAGCTGATAAATAGTGGAAATACTATTGGAACATGGTGATTGGTGACGGGTGAGAGTGGTATTAGAAATATACACATCGAGGCACTAGGAGATATTGCGGTGGCGATACTAGTGGTAATTATAAAGGTGCTGTTGGACCGTGGTGAGTACTGATATTGGAACTTGGAAGGAGACACGTAAATCAATTTGGAGATATTGGCATTGCAGTGGCAATACTAGTGGCAAATATTGGAAATACTATTGGAACATGGCGAGTGGTGACAAAGCATTAACCATTATTTTCAGGGTAAATCTAGAAGGAGAAACTTTTGGAGGAGACACAAGGAGACATTGGATCGGAGGCATTGGATCGGAGAGACAGATTGGCTGACAGATGGACTGGAGGTCACATAGAAAAATGGATCGAAGACAGATTGGATCGGAGACAGATTGGAGGACACATGGATTGGAGATCGCATGGAAGTATAGATCGAAGACAGATTGGATGACAGATGGATTGGAGGTCACATGGAAGCATGGATCGGAAAAAATAGAGAAGGAGAAACGGAGATAGATAGCTTGGAGAGGATGGTCGAAAAAGAAGAAAACGGGAACTAAAAGGGAAACGAAACTTAAAGAAGAAGTGAATGAAAAGGGAAGACGGATAGAAGACCCAGGCATGAAGAATGAGAGTTTCCAACAATAGAAATAATGCGGACCTGCAGAAAGAGACAAGAAAAAGACGTGAAAGAGCAAACAGGGAAGAGTCCAAAAGAAGGAGACACGTGGAGACCTGTGAAGGAGACACGTGAGCAAATTGGAAGAAAACACATGGAGACATTGGAAAGAGACATATGGAAACATTTGGATGAGACACGTGGAGAATTGTGAAGGGACACGTGAGCACATTGGAAGAAGACACATGGAGACATTGGACAAAGACACATGGCATTGGGAAGAGACATATGAAAGGAGACACGTGGAGACCTGTGAAGGAGAATCGAGAGCACTTTGGAAGAAGAAACATGGAGACATTGGAAGAAGATACATGGAGACATTGGAAAGAGACACGTGAAACATTAGAAGGAGACACGTGAAACATTAGAAGAAGACACAGATATGGAAAGCTGGAGGGACGGACAGTACGATAATACAGGGAACTGTCCAAAATGTTGGAAAACGAGCGGAAGACGGAGACATGGTGTGAGAAGAAGAGAGAGACGCAGAGAGGTTGATAATTAAGAGGAACACCAGTGGAACAAGAGAGATACACAGTAAAAGAAACAATAGAACGATGTTGGGAGGAGACTCGGAGACTTGGAGACTTACCAGGTTGTAAATACATTCTAGTAGGAGCAGTTGAATCCAAAAGGTTTTACGCTATTCTTCCAACCTAAAAACGAAAGGATTTGATAGATTTGGAAGAGTAATGAATTTATAAAGTAAACTTAGACTGGATTGAATAACTATGGGGGATTATCATCCCCCAGGGGCGGTGGAGAAAAGCTGATCAATACATACCTGGAAATGAAGATAGGGAGCGAATCTAATCATCCGGAGAGGAGCTGCTCACCATATCATTTTGGATAGGAGACTTGGAGTCGGAGTCGGAGCTGTCGGGGCAACAGGTGGAGTGGGGAAAAGTACCCGACATAAAGTACAAAGTGACACGAGGAGGAGGAGCAGGGGGATCGTCAGAAGAACTGATTTCGCCATGTTGTA